CGTTGCCGACATTCGAACCAAACGGTTTGCTTCGTCATTCATAATGCGTATGGAAAAGGAGTGGAATAATTTGATCTGTCTTTCAGTTCGATTACAATGTGCGCGTCTTCAAGAAAGTCGGCGTGTTGTACCATCTTAGGCTGCATCACCACTTACCATTACGTGGGATACTACTAAAGCACTGGCTTATAATATTATAAAAAAGAAATAATTATATTATTTCTTTTGTCAATATAAATTTAATAAAGAAAATAATCTAGTTTTCAAATTTAAAAAGTGATTTATGTTTTAATAAAAAAACGACAACATTTAAAATAATTATCCACAAAGCGCAGAAACAAGGTTGTTTGGAACCGGCGGTTACACAGACACGGCGCGTTCATAATTTCAACAGCGTTCTCTAATGGCTTTCTAATTAGCACTATGAATAATAACTTGCTACGTAAAAGCAGTCACTTCAAATGTAACGGAGTCACTTTATGTGAGGCACATTACACGCGAGATGCCTAAATGATTGAGCCTTATTATTCGTTGATTATTAAAAATGCTATTAATTATTTATGAACATTTCAATGTGTCTTTTGTTGGTTGACAGCTTTATTAATAAATTATTACAAAATCTTTAAAACTTTATTAATATAATCGTTGGTGCATCTGTTAGTGATCGAGTAACTTCCAAACGACTTGCAGTTGACGTCGTGTTTACTCAATATATTAGTTTTGTTGAGGCAATGCTATATGTGCTAAGATCTAATTTAATTAACAAATTAAATAAGTATGGACAAAAATGACTTGAGTTTCAAAATAGAATATTACTATGTTTAAACCAAGTAGGTGGCGCTGTGGTCTTAATTATTAATAACTTTTATATTTACACTGTAAAAATTACGAAACATATTATTATCAAGTCTGTAGAAGAGCGTTTGTGACAGATAGACAACGAGTTGGTCCCACATGATCACATTCTGGCAAGGAACACAAATTCTGTTGGTAAAGCGAAGCCAACGCGAACAAATCCGCAGCAAAAAGAAAGAACCATCTAAATTTGCCACAGTTATACTGACTTAAAACTTGGTCGGTTATAGATTTTAAATTACAAAAAAAAATTTTGTACCCAAAAAAAGATTTTATGTACAAAATTTTCTTCTAAACGTTGTCCTGGCTACAGTCCTTACTTCTACTCCTACGTCTCCACTCCGCCCGGTTTGTAGGGTAGTTGACTAGACCATTTACTTTCATATCCGACCTACCGCAGTCGAGTATAAAGTGCAAATTAAGTGAAATTCTCATTATTAAAATTATACTTTTAATAAATAAAAAAAGCCGACTTCAAAGAAATAAAAAGAATAAATAATTTCTGAAGTCGAGCCCAGGCTTCAGATTGTGAAAACTAACGAATATCACAATATCAATGTCGTCTAAATAATTACATGAAAAAATTTATTCCCTATTTTACCACCTTTAGGGAAGAAATTTTTTCTCCAGATTTATATGAAACCGTCACTGAAGTATAACCAATTTGATAAAAAAAGAATCATCATTCATCATCAGTTCACAATTGGCGAAGATATCATGTAACATACATACAAAGGAAAAGAACATAGAAGCGAATTCCAACCCTCCTACTTTTTGGAATTCGGGTACATAGATTTTTAGTGTTTTTCACTATCTACGGAAAAAAAGCAGGAAAATAGCAGACTAGAATAGCTGCGAATTAATATGTGATATGGACTTGTAAATGCGTTGAGATTTTGGCGTTGTAGTTGTTTGTAGTTGCAAACAGTTGGTCAACAACTGTCCTTAATTCGTTTTTATTCAATTAAGGTTTCATATGAGAAAATTGTTCAGAGAACAGATGAAGAATGGCGGAGTGGCGAGGGTGAGTTTACTCATCCAGGTAGGCGCTAGTTGAGTGACTAATTGTTAATATATAGACCAAGTTTCAGCCTAATCGGGTCATTAGCTTTTGAGCTATCAACGAGTAAAAAAGTCAATTGGGAAGAAGCTAACCACTATGGAGAAAATTGAATATCGCGCCGTTATTAAGTATCTCACCCAACAAGTAAAGACACCTCAAACCATTTTTCAAGAGACGCCCGCTGTTTATGGGGACTCAGCTCCTGGGAAAACCATGATTTATAAATGGCACGCCCTTTTCAAACAAGGGAGGGACTCTGGGAATCAATGGATTTTATCGCGTTTTTTTTTAATTTATGTTTTAAACCCTAGGGCAAAGCATTTGAAACATCGGGAATTTAAAATAAAAATAATCGGATAAAAAAAGGATTATTTATATAAATAAAAAACATTTAAATCGTGAAAATCTAAAATATTTTAAGGTTTAAATATCATTAGATTTAAAAAAAAAATGTGTTTAATGTCTTAATTATTAAAATTTTAAGCATCTCGTTAAAATATAATGGGCAGTATCCCAGGGAAATACTGCAATTTGAGCGATATTTTGGAAGTAATCCGATACGACCGAAGCTCCAACAAAGTTCCATAAGGAAAGGGAGGATGCCCTAGCAAGATTACAAAGTTTCTCTGTATCTGTATCTTACAAAGGGTTAAAAAAGAAATATGTAAAATGTTACAAGATGTTACAAGCCTATTCAACATAATTTTGCTTCTCTTATGAAAACAGTGATATTAGGAAAATTCCAGTAAAAAAAATTAAACTAAAGGTAGCCGTGGTTAACTATGACATTGGGACGCAGTGTTGTAAAGTACTCGAAACGTCGGGAATGTAAATAAAATCCACCGCCCGTCTCATTCAATATTACAGTCTTTAAATAAATAAAATCATTATGACAAGTACAGATTCTGACAAATGGTATAACCATGTCCTACATCTGACTTAAGATAATAATATCCTCCACACCGAATTCCTGTCACGGCAGCCAGTTTCAACGGAGTCTAGCCATCTGCATAGGACAATTACAGTGCTTGAGTGTGTGTGCAAGCACAGATGCACTTCACACTTCTTTAATCCCTTACTGTATATATGGGAAGAAAATCAGATACGACCAGAGAGACATAAGACGCAGGTAAAAACGGCTTTCGTTCTTTCTGATGCACAGAATTGAAACATCGCCAGTTTCCTGACTCTAGGCTGCTACTGAATTGCTTGACATAAAACACAAAATCATTTATTGTGTTTTCCAATAACTGATTTTGACCCGAACTAGGTTTTGAACTTGGGATCACATAGTAGACAAACAAGGTAGTCAAAGATGTGAGATGCTCCCTAAATCTCTAGTACTACTTCGACAATCCTGGCGGTTATGGCAACTTTTTTTAAATGACCGTACTCCGTACATTTATGCAACCTCGTTTGCAATTTATACAAAAATGTAGACAATTATTTGTAGGCCATACAAATACTTGTTAGGTGCGGGATTTGAACCAGCGGCTCTCAGGCCGACTTAACGTTTAGATATTGCGCCACGGAACTATTAAAATTATGCCTATTGTTAGAGGGGCTATTTTTGTAGCGACACACAGTCGGCCTTTTTATAGAATAAGAGTGACAGATGAGCATACAGACCAGATGATGGTAAGTGATGTGGTCCATAGACATCTATGCCATAGAGAGGATAAATGATCCTCGATTAAAAATCAAAAGTCAAATGCTTTGTCATCCCTGGGGACTAAGATGGAACGCATCGTTTCCAGTAACAAGGATCTGTGGTTCTCCACACCCATCATACGAAACATACCAGCATTGAGCTGCTATTTTACGCTGGTATTCTGTGAGAGCGTGGTCCTTCCCCAGTCGAGCCGACCCATTCGTGTTGCATAACACCTGCGTCATGGCTCTACCACGCCCTGTCCGGGCTGTTAAGGAGGAGATTAAAACATAATTTTTGTATAGAATTACGGCGATAAACGAGCACACAGTTCACTAGATGAAAAGTATATGATGAAGCACACAGACCTATATTTATCCTCGGTTAAGGATCAAAATGCAGATGCGTTGTCAGTCCTGAGGATTAAGATGGAATGCCTCGTTACTAATAAGAAGCGTATACAATTATATCCGTAGCATCTCTTCACATACTTACCATTCGAAATAGTTGATGTATTTTGTGGTTCTAAAGCTTGTAACCATTTGGAAATGCAGTAAAGTTCTAACAAGCTGGCAACTTTTAATGGTGCAGAAGTTGCGGCTGTGTTTATTTTATTTCAGTGCTCGTTTGTACAGTTTAAACAGTATACTATGAGCACAGTATCGGTGGATCGCGGTGTAGGCAGGTTTTAAAGGAATGTTTTTTGACAAACAAAATTTTACTATTTTATCCCTAGTAATAAATAATAGTCAATCAATAATTAGAGTTATTGTATCGATCACATGTTATAGATATAGATATACGGTGTTCTATTGTTACGGTTTGTAGTTCAAATCTAAATAATAAACTGTTATTGTTGGAGCCTAATAAAGTCCACTGCTGAACACAGGCCTCCCCCATAGATTGCCTCATACATTTGCCATAGTTGTCACAGTTATTAGGAAGACGCTGCTGCCCATCTCCTGCCCTCTGACGCCTCTTACGACATGATAGGTAGTGGGTATTCTAATAAACAGTAACGGTAAATTTATTTTATTTTCCTAAAATGAAATAGTTTGTTAGTAAGTGTAGCTAAAATGTCCTCCAGATCGAATTTCCGTCACGGCGGTCAGTCTGAACGGTGATTAGCCATCTGCGCAATACAGGATTACAGTGCCCGAGTGTATGTGCAAGCACAGATGTACTCTCCATTCCCTCACTGTCATAGTTCGATGGGACGGTAAACCGACACTACCGGACAGAGATCAGGCGCAGGACCAACAGCTTTACGTGCTTTCCGAGGTGCGGGGGTGATACACCGCCAATTTCTTGACCCAGGGCTTTTTCTGAGAATTTGTAGTCAGCAAAACCCCATAACTGATTTTGGCCGGCTCAAGACCAACGAGGCGGTAGAGTAGTAGAAAAGTTAGTAATATAAAGACGGGTACTCACTGCAGTCGGCTTCGTCGGTGCCGTCCACACAGTCAACGTGCATATCACACCGGTAGTGCGGCGGGATGCAGTACGTCTTATTGAACACATACTGGCCGCACGTCAGCTGACCCGTTTCACATTCCGGAGGTGCTGCAACAAAATCAATAAAAAAATAAGTTAATTTTTATAACATCGGGAGGTGCAACAAAATCTTTTCTTAACGAGGGCTACGACTTTTCCTTTCAAAACAACTGCTATTTATACAGACCGCTGACGCAATATGTGTAAATAGCAGTTGTTTTGGCTCGCCGCTCACTTAGCGGTCAGCCACAGCAGAGTCTACATCACCTGAAGATGCCTCGTGTATTGTCGTCAGTGGTGTGTCTTTCCTAGTGTAGTGGTGTTGGAAGTGTTGGTGCTGGGATTAGTGGTGCTCTTCGAACTAGGTAAGACATCATTTTATTTTATCGAGCGGATGTATGCGAGGTAATTTTTTACCAAGTTTAATATAATGGATTTCCGCAAAGTAATGCCTGATTCTATTAATTATGGCGCTATTTTATTATGAGGTAACATTTGGCAGATTTCATAGCGTGGAAGTTAATTTGTTAGGGAAATGTAAAGGGTAACGTTTCTTTCTGTCCTGAAGAATAGTTATATTTTATAATATTTATTTAAAAAATTAATAAACCAAACCACAGATATTCCAAAAGGTAGAAAAAAGAAAGAGTTAATTATGTGAAAAAAAATTTAAGACAGAACTAATGAGGCATTGTTTCGTGTATTAATATAATACTCTAGAAACTTATAACCTTTTTTTTAAACGTTACCTCCACACTATGATTTTCTCCTGTCTGTGGGGGCAGTTCACATACATAGATTTCACAAGGACAAATATCCAGACACGGAACAATTATTTGTAGGCTATACATTTCATTTTAACTTTTTTTTATTCACGACGTTTCTACCATGTATGATATAAAACACCTTTTTTTTATACAATTAGGGTGACAAACGAGCACACAGTCCACCTGATGGTAAGTGGACGCTGTGGCCCATAGACATCTACATCTATCTTCGTTTGCGAATTAAAATGCAGATGCGTTGTCAGCCGCGAGGACTAAGATAGAATGCCTCTTTTTTCCCGTGATCATGGATGCTGTAAAGTGCCCGAAACGTCGCAAATTCAAAAAGTTAAAATTAAAAGCGTTAAAATCCGTAAAAATTGTTTTATTCCAAAAATATTTCACTTTGATTTTCACTTTGAGTTGCCTATGGACCAAAGCATCCACTTACCATCAGGTGAGCTTTGTGTTCTTCTGTCACTCTTTCTTCTAATAATTATCCCTTAGTTACGTAGAGAATGCTATATCGTTTACACGTGGCAAGGAATTAGCAGGAATTGGTCGGCTCGACCGGGGTAGGACCACGCTCTCACAGAATACTAGCGGAAAATAGCAGCTTAATGCTGACTATGTTTCGTATGATGAGTGTAGAGAACCGGAGACACTTTTTACTGAAAACGAGGGATTCCATCTTAGTTCTCAGGGGTGACAACGCATCTGCAATTGATTCTTAATTGAGGATAAATGTAGATATCTATTGCCCACAGTATCCACTTACCATCAGGTGGACTGTGTGATCGTTTGTCACCCTATACTATAAAAAAATTCGTCATCAGTATCTCAACGTTTCTAGAAAAATGGGTTCAGAATTTAAAACAGATAACTTGCAATATATTGAACTAATAAATCGTTAGTCACGTAAACGCTTGTAAAGTTTTCTTTTAATGAAACGCCTGCGAAGCTGATATACATGCGAAGTAGCTGCGTTTCATCTGAAACCTTTTCACAGGCGAAGCACAAGCGCTATTGATCTCAGAAACTCATTAGGACGAGCGTCGGAACCAGTGCCATCAATCAACTAGGCATCCCTAGCTCGTAGCTTCTCTTCAACATCTATTTAATAGTAAAAAAAGTTCAAACGCCGTCCCTGAAATTGAGCGTTCAGTACAATGTTACAAATTTTATGGAATATTGCTGAGAAAAATCGAAAAAAATCCGAATACAGATAATCATGTAAAGATGGAAATTATACGTGGCAGAGCCTTGTTGCAGCTATATTTTTGTTAAAGCACAAATGGGTCGCCCCAACTGGGGAACGAACCTGCTGCTATTTTCCGCTGGTATTCTGGAAAAGGTCCTCACAGTATACCAGCGTAAAAAACGAGCAGCTTTTTGTTGCTGTGTTTCGTATGGTGAGTGTTGAGAAATGGAGTACTCTTTTTACTGGAAACGAGACATTCCACCCTAGTCTTTAGAGGTGACAACGCATCTGCAGTTTGATACTTAACTGAGGATAGAATTAGATCACTTACCATTAGATGGACTGTGTACTGGTTTGTCACTCTTTTTTGTTACAAAAAATATTTATCAAACTGAATAAAAATTATCAGAGCTACATTATTTAGTATAGATATAGTTGCCGCTGGTAGATCAGGGACTAAGTCCTCGTTATAGATTGCACAGGATGCGAGCAACCGGGGTTTGATCGCGCTGGCTACAATAAGAATTACTAAATGAATTGTAACAGGTGATTTACGACGTGTTCGGCGATGAAAGAATGTGGTAAGGAAAACTACATGTCTAAACTAAAACTCTCTACGAAATGCGAGCAGGTCTATGTTAGTAAGGATGTATAACGACTGTAACTTAATTAACTTTATTTATTTATTTTATTTTATAAAACTGAAGTGAAACATACGAATTCACAGCAAACTTCAAACAAAGTAGACTAGAGTTAGTCTAGAGTTGTCACCTCGGAGGACTAAGATGAAATACTTCACATCTTGTAATTATACTGACTCTACATCCTTTAAACCAGAATACAACAGTGCACGCACTGCTATTTGACAGCAGAAAAAGGCAAAAGGCTTGTATCTACCTATATCTACTACCTCGCCTCATAAACTTTTATAAATTAGTTTAAATAAAACGAGTTTTATTTTTCTGCTAGTTGTTTACCGCGTTTTTTTTTACAGAATAAGGGTGAAAAACGAGCACACAGTCCAACTGGTGGTAAGTGGTTGTTATGGCCCATATACATCTATCTTCGTTTGCGAAATAAAATGCAGATACGTTGTCAGCCGTGAGAACTAAAATAGAATGCCTCTTTTCCAGTAAAAAGGGTTTCCGGTTCTCTACACTCACCATACGAAACATAGCAGCATTAAGCTGCTATTTTATGCTGGTATTCTGTGAGAGCGTGATCCTGCCCCGGTCGAGCCGACCCATTCATGCTACAACTATACTATTAATATAGCTGCAGTATGGCTCTACCACGTATATTAACTTAATTTATATTTCCGACGTTTCAAGAACTTCACAGCACCCATGGTCACGGAGGGTACTGAGGTGTTCAACGTCCCAATGTCGTAGTTAACCACGGCTACCTCCAGAATAAAATTACTAATTTATGTTCCGATCTACGCAGTATGAACTTATAGTATCCTGAAGTATTGCAGTTGTATGCTTGGGTTGGGATTTAATTTTATTAATTACAGGATCCCAATTAGATCGTAGTACACAGCTATCATCTCTATTGAAATTAGGATGTTTTTTAATTTCAATAGCCACGTGAAAATTGGCAGGAATCGGTACTCTTTAACGAGGGTTTGTAGTCTATCAAATATGATGTAGTGACTGGGGAGATCCTGTACGTGTTCACAGACTGCAGACCTCTCGGAGCGTCGATTCTTTTTTAAATTAATTACGATGGAGGACAGCAGTTTTTTAAACCTTTAGAAAATTAATCTTAAATAAATAACTAATAATATCTACGTTCTTGAAATTTTGCTCCGTTAGCTTTTAAATTACATCCCACAGTACGATATCAAGATGATTTATATTCCATTTTCGCGCTGAAGAAAAAACATATTTTAAAGAAGCATAAGTCTGTACTTCGGTAACAGCGTGATATGGCCACTCACGAAAACTTCTGTGACAGACAGACACCGGGGTGATTAAATAAGTGTCTCATTTCTTGAGTACGGTAGACTGAAAAAGATTAAAATATATAGCTATATTTTCTCATCTCAGGAAATTCGAGCTGAATTTTTCACAATTTAAGCTAAGCAGTATTATCTATACAAATAAATAAAATTGAAGTGTCTGTTTGTAATACCAAAATAACAGCTTTTTACTAAATGCGTATGAAAGTGTATACGGTATTTATAACAAAAAAATATTTTTTTTGGTAATTTTTGTCTGTCTGTCTGTCTTTCTGCCTGTCTATCAGTCAGTCTGTTTGTGCTGGCTAATCTGAGAAATGAAATGGCTTGACCCGATTTTGACAGATAGCTGATGTTTGACTTTTTCACTGGCAGATAGCTGATGTTATAAGGAGTAACTTAGGCTACTTTTATTTTTAAAAAAAATGAGGGTTCCGTGCAAAATAATTAAAATCCATGAAATCCAATCATAATAAATGCACGCGGACGAAGTCGCGGAGAACAGCTAGGTGTATAATAATATAATATATTATATCTGTATGAAGTATGTAATTATATTTTGTATTTGGCTTGCACAACCCATCAAACTATGTTTGATTAATAATTGTTGCTCTGAGTACCGGTAGATATAAAAAAAAACAGACTAATGATTTTAATTTACAAATTATGAAATCTTAATTTTTTGCTACTAGAATTAATTTGAAAATAAAAATAAAAGGATTCAGATTCGCAATTTAGTTCTAAATAACACAAACAACCTAATGGGGTGACAACGCATCTGCATTATGATTCTTGATCGGGAATAAATGTAGATGTCTATGGACCACAGCATCCACTTACCATCACTGTGTGCATGTTTGTCACCCTTATTCTATAATAAAAAAACCGGCAAAGTGCGAGTCGGACTCGCGCACCGAGGGTTCCGAACAAATCCGTAGGTATATAAGTTTAAAATTATTAAAAATATTTTTATTATATGATGTAACTAAAAATTTATGCTATTTGCAATTTTTTCTTTATCTGTGCTATAATAAGTTGCTTCGTACCAAATTTTAAGATTCTGAGTTCACGGGAAGTACCCTGTAGGTTTTGATTCCCTTGCGAGTGTTGAAGATTTGCGGCATAAACGGCTGTATCTTTT